CACACATACATATATACTTTTTTATATATATATATGGAAAACGCAAATGCAGATTTAATAATTTAAAAACAAGTTTGCATTCTAGATGGGGTCTTGTGTGCTTTAAATACTTATTTCCTATTGTACGGGCACATTTTGGCTCAGCAAATATCATCTACAAGTTTTGCCCCGTTAATCCCACGATAGGTTACTCTGCTAGGTCGAACTAAGACCCCGTGGTTCAGCTTGCAGGTGAAATAGCGCTTTTCCCCCACAGAGCCATCATTCTTTCCCTTCGCGCTTCTAAGTTCAAGTCCGAGCCATATCCCCGGTGCGAAGTCTGTAGGACCAATGTACCTGATTGTCCCCATTTCATTGGAGCTGGTCAGAAGAACCTGAGAGCCCTCGTGCAGCTTCACTGGTCCCTCGGTGTTAGCTGTAGTGGTATTACTCCAGCTGCGCCGTAACACAGAGCTCTTGGATCTGGTTGGAAAAATGGGGAGGAAAAAAAGTAGTCTGGTTTCTACAAAACGCCCATGGCAAATCTATAATTCAGTGAAGTGCATGGAAAAAAAACTCAACTCCCTTTTAAAAAAAATTTGGTTTTGCTAGTGCACAAGCTCAAAACATGTAATAACATTAACAGGCTAGTACACATGGCAGCCTGAAATACTTGGCAAATCAATTTCCTTTCACCTGATACTAGGATCTACAGTATTTGCTGTAGAGTGATAGTATTGGTAAATTAAGCACTATGAAGCATTTTATTTGGGGCTTGAAAGAGTTTAGCCAAAACAACTTTTAACATGCAATGGTCAGTCAGGATCACCAGGACAAAGTGAAGTCCTTTAACAAGACCCTCTGAACTTCACCCAGCTGTGTGAAAATACAAGAATTTGGAGAATATGCAGTGATGAATGACTGGAGAACAATTTTAATGGCAACCTGCATCCACGGACTGTATTCTGGGATACCCACAGAAAAATAGTCTACTACTGGTCCATTTTGGAAGAAAAAAAAAAATGACCATTTCGATATTAAACATGCATAAAGATTTTCTTTTGACCAAGAAACAGTAAAGCTAACAGCCAGCCCACCCAAACATTTAAAACTCAAGACACGCACCTAACAAAGGAGTTTCTTCTGTTTATCTCCTTTTGTGAAGATGCAGAAGTGGTGCTTAGACTGCGTCTAAAACCTAAGTGGAAAGGTTAATAAGCTGTGTAGGACTTAAAAAAAAAAAAAAAAAATCCACACAACAAACCCCAAACCTTTATGAACTCATATTCTTTGTGGGCTTTTTTATACTGCTTCCACTACATTTGCTACACATTCTCTCGTCCAATTTGGAAATTAAGCGATGAAACTTCTCATGAAAGTAAGTGTCCATAACCACGTTCAAATTTTCAGAGGACAGAAATGAAATTAAACAAACCAAACACGGGTAATTTGAAGCAACCTTTTCACAAAAACCTTAGGTAAGGAAAAAGAAAAATAACTGTTTCAAGTATCTCACAGAAGTTTTAGTAATTGCATATGGACCCCTCCCTACACTTCATCAATGTAAAAATGTAGATTAAGGAGCATGTTCAATTTATGGTTAACTCTGATTAGCATACCATACAGTAATAAGGGACGAATGCAATACAGTAATAAGGGAAGAGGGTCAACAATCTTAACTCTGACATAATTATTTCTGCCAGCACAGGGTTAATAACAACACAGCACTCCACAGTTCCTGCTGCAGGCTACATTTGTAGGAAGGGACCAGCCAGACTGTTGGCTGGCATTCGGGTTCCTCGATTGTGCTCTCAGAGAAGTGGCCTTTGTGCAGTAGGTTCTGGTTGTAGCATGGTAGCCTGCGGTAGGCTACCTAAGACAAAACACAGTCTTACGCTCCTACCTGGAAAAGTGCGATTTATTTTGCTCGATGAAGTCTCTGTGAGAGAATCCAGAGAACCTGTTAGTCTGAAAAGCAATAGCACAATGCAGGAGTCATTTCAACTCAACTCTGAACAACCCTACTGCTGGAGTTCTTCTTGTCAAATGTTGATTAAGTTCTGATTCCTTCCCTTCTCCACCCACCCCAAAGAGACACTAACGTTTCAGTTGTCATCAGGCTGGTATGTAAGAGGTGCCTGGAGCAAACTAGTTTATTCAAGTTACTTGTCTTTTACTCAGCAAGAGAGCATGTATAATTTTGAGGCAAGTTCTTTAACAGTTTGGCTAAGCTAGGATATTCAGGGAAAGAAAAGCAAGAACATGTCTGGCAGAGTATCTAGATAAAAATACAGGAGGAAAGAGCACAGCATTCCTCGGATGTTCTTCCTGAAACCGAACGAAGAGACTACAACAAAGTGGTGGACGCTTTGGTTCCTCTGTGCTGTTAGCTGGAATGAGAATAGTATTTCCAGTCATGTCCAAGGGCAACTTCCTTTTATAACCAAATTTAACACAGCGCATCAGGATTGGGTCATGAAAGTTAAGGTTTAATGAACACAGACTGTGTCAGAAACGGAGGCCCTGGAATGAAAATACTTGAAAGTGACTGCAAGAGAAACAGGGGGAGCTGCATTTCCAATTTATACTCTGCTTTCAAAAAGCTGATCTAAAACCCACCAGGTTTTTAATGGAGGTTATAATCTTCCATTAGCAGAAGAAAACATTTATTTCTTCCATACCTGCTGCAAAACTTTGCTTCCCACTGGAAATGTATTAAGAAAGCGTTTGGCAACACAAATATTACAACAGCTTCAACAGCTCCAGTGCTTACCTCTGTACACGAGATGGTGGTGCAAATATACCGTATCTGGGAGGACAACTAAAGTACTGAACACCTCCCACAGAACCGTCATTCTTCCCGTGAGGTTTGTCCAATTCAATTCCACACCAGAATCCTACATTTCAAAACAGTAAAATCATGGTGTTTCAAACAAAACACCACAGGCTTTTCTTCATTTAGACAGTTGGTACAGTTGGCATTCATCCACATCAAGGAAAACAGTTTCTAGTTAGAAACTGTCTAGATAGGTTTTTTTGTAATATATATATTTATTATTATCTATGTAACTATGCAAAAATTTGTATCATAATAAACCTAATTATCTCAGCATTTTTATATGCTTTTGAGAAAATTATTGACATTGTAATAAATACAGAAAAAGTAAACCCCTTGATATATATACTAAAGCTGAACAGAATGTTACTGAATAGAACAGTAGCTATTTGACAAAAAGGAGATAGGAAAGAAGAGCAGTGGTGGTTCAAGTTTCCCTCTTTAGGCCTCTGACCACATGGTTTATGCCTCATCTGAGATCATCAACAGTAAAATTAAAGTTTTGATATTAATTCATTCCTTCTCTCCATCTAGCAAGTTATAATTAATACAAATTGCAAGGCTGGTTGTATGATATCGAGGGAAGGGTGTAAGAACTGGCCAGCAATTCATCTCATACAGAACACTGAACAGGCATCAAGATGTTAATAAGCTTGATCATTCATAACCTGTGATAAATGTGAGCTAATTATGTAAAGGTGCTAAATTTCATACTCCATTAGCAGTCCTTATGCTAGCCATCCCCAAAAGATTCAAATTTAATTCAAGTCACTTGGTACTGAGGCTAATTATCAGCTCAAGAAATGCAGGAATGACAGCTTATGAATTAGAAGGGCTCAGTACATCAGAAGTTCTCCCCTTCCTGTTTTTAGCATTAAATAAAGATCTGCATTGCAGCAAAAGAAATGAAGTTTGGGTAACTTCCCGAGCTTTGATACCTATTAAAATTCAGATACTTACTTAAAAATGCATCTGTTACATTTTCTATAAATTACTGGTTTTGCAAATGGTGAAGATTTGTGACCTTTCCATCCTCACTTCTTACCAGACCGTGTTTGTCTCAAAAAAATTTTGTTCCCTAACTTGGGGGGAGAGGGAGGAGACTTACATTGTCAAACAGCTGATTTTACACTTGTTACAGTCAATTTGGAAAACCAGTCCTTTTCTCATTGTTTACTTTGTAAGCAACAACATGAAGGTAAGAGTGATCACATGAAAGTGCAGAATCAGTTAACTGCAGTATCTTAAGCAAGGACTGCCTACAATGAAATTGGGGAAAGGGGCAAGAATGAAAAAAGTACATGACTTGTACCACAATCTCGCATTCTGTCATTCTAACATTCTTTTTTTTTTTTCATATTGATGCCACCAAGTGTCAAGATGGAGCACTGCTGCTTATGTATCCATGAACAGACCACATTTAAACTAGGTACTTACACCAATACTTACCAACTGGTTTTGCATTATTCTTGCAATAAGAAGATTATAGGTAAGGACATAAAGAACATAGGATTTGGTTACAAAAAACCAGTATTCAGAAATTAGCTTCCACAATTTAGAACAACTCACTTCCATTTGAAAACACCTGGCTTCACTGCAATGTGTTTTTTAGCAAGGGCAAGGGAGGGAGGAGCTGAAAGGGAGAAGGTTGAGAAAGTGGTGGTAGAGTTTGGGGCTTTTTGAGATGCCTGTAACTTTTCATCTGTCCTGTGACCTAAAGGTTTGTTAGTTAAGATTTAAATGTTCACAATTACCCTCTTAAAGATGCCAAGAAGATAAGAATGAGACAGGTATATGACATGATAATATTGCAAGAGATGAGCTGTGTCAAAAAGGAGTAAAGGAGTAAAGGCATGTGATCTCAATAAAGTATATACCACTTTGGAGACTAAACTGAGGACTTTCAGAAAGCTTTGTAACAATACCTACAATTTCAACATTCTAATTAAGCCGTGTTAGTGGACAAGTAAAAGCCACATTTTAAACCATTATTTTTTTCTGGCAGTTGCATTAAAGTAAAAAATATTCAATGAAACATAGGAGAGGGAAAGAACTTTGAAACAAAGCAGTAAATTTAGATTTTTTTTTTTCTTTGGAGGGAGTGAGGAAAAAGATGGAGTTCTCTTAATGTTCATGTGCTCACATGTAAGCAACTCCATATTGATTCTACAACACACACAAAGAGCATTGCAAATACCTGGTGCAAATTTTGTCGTCCCACAAAATCTAACAGTGCCCGTTCTCTGTCCTACCACCAGTACTCTGTCTCCAACCCGAATTTCTCCTTCATCAAAAGGATTTTTCCGTGTAGCTGGAGAACTATACAACCCTGTTCAACAGAAGAACAAGATCTGAAATTAGTGACATTCTATCTTTAAAATTTAAGAAAGTCTTAAATAGTGAGCCGACTGATTGGTAAACAGAGTATACATCTTTAACACAGGGTACCTTTAACACATGGCAACACTCTGCAAATGTTGCTTAGACAAAGAATTGCTTTGCTTCAGCATGAAACCTGTGGACTACAGCCTTTTCTCTGCAGTTGAAAGGTACAGTGACCAACTACAAGAACAGTTTTCCTCTTGAAGCTGTTCTAAAAATCTTTTAAAAGTTGCCAAACAAGTTTATGGTTAAGCTACTTCCCAAGTGTCTTTCTTGACTGATCTCAGATTCTGAAACAGCACAAGTAGCTCTACCTAAGTATTCAATACAGCAGTAAACTTCCACCTGTGAAAACACACTCCAATAAACCAGACCATACCAGCACTAATTTTAGATGAGGCAGAAGACACTCTAGTCACTGCTTTTTTATTGCTGCTAGTTGAGTTCCGCTTCTTGCAGTAATTCTGTTTGCCTTCCAAGGAGGTAGTAGAAGAGGAAGAGCTGCTGTACACAGGAAAACCTAAAAGACATAAATGGAAATAGTCCTTCAGTGATCATATTTGGAAAAGGACACATTAAGCAGAAAGGAAAGTTTCTGTAGGCAGGCAGTTATCTGTTCTCCATAGCGGGCAGAATACAAAGTAAAGAGCCAAAATTAGAGGTTGTTAAGCAGCATTTACACAAATGTCAGGAATGACATAGGTGCATCAGACCCTGCCTTGGGAATAAGGTGATAGTTTAGTGCTGGAAGAGGTCTTCAAAACCCCCTTTTTTGTTACTCAAAATTTTTCTAAACGGTCCCAAGCATATTTATTAAAATATGGGAGCCTTAGTAATAAGAGATCATACCACCACACTTTCAGCATCCAGCCTATGAAAGAGTTGATGAGAAGTGGAAGGAAGGTGATATTATGCGAGTGAATTATTGTCTGGATTAAAGCCTGCCATATTCCATTACATACTGTATTAATATTAAAATCTGTACTATAAAATAAGAATGGGAAATAAATCACTTTTATCTCCATTTGCAAACCCTGATGTCTAAACTGTCCGATAAGACTTATGTTCAGCTTTCCTCCTTCCTTTTCAAGGCTCTCCCCAGTTCTCCCCTTTCCTACCCCTTTCTACCCAAAATAAGGCGGAGTACAGCAAGACATGCCTATGCCTCAGTTTCTCAATGTGAAAAACTAATATAATATTGCTTATCAAACTTTCCAGAATTCTGAGAGGCTTAATTCATTAGTTTTCACAAAGCACCTCAACATCGACACAGGGTTAGCGTGTTCAATATAATTTAATCCTCCAATTTGGCAAAACAGTAAAAAACTGCAGAAAGGCAAATGCAGTGGGTCAAAGCAAAAGCTTAGTTATCTGGGGACAGAAATCTAAAGACTGAGATATTGGCTGCAGCTGTGCTACAATGAAGAAAATGCAAATTACTAAATAACTGGTGACTAAACCAGCAAAATTCAACTCCAAGGCATAAAATACACGCGTGCGTTTGTGAACACATACTACAAGTCCATATTTAGAAGTCAGTCCAGCGATGGATTCACTGGAGGCCAGACCACCGAGCACTTTTACGTGAATGCAACAAAAACTGCTGATGCAGCAATACAGAAACAAAAAGAAACTAAACAGTTGTTAAACACTTCATTTTGTGGGAAATCATGAGGTGGGAGAAGGAAAAGCAGAAGGGACTTCAGCAAGTCCTATAATGCATTCCTCTTCCATCAGGCAAAACAACTATTTGTGCTATCACTCCCGCCCGGTGAGTGTTTGACCCCTTCTTACAAACCTCCCATCAGGGAGATCTCGGGAATTCCTCAGCAATATGTTTCACCACATAATTACCTGTACTGTTAGAGGGGTTTTTCCCCCTAATATAAAACCTAAATTATCACAGCTTTAGCTCAAGATTTCTTATTCTCGTTACACATGCAGAGGGGGTTATACTGTTCTTTGTATCTGAAAGCTTCCTGTTCTATCCCTTTAATCTTCTGGTTTTTAATCACACAATCACAAATTCCATCCGTCTTTTCTCCTAAGTCATGTTTTATACCTCCAGTTATTGTGGTGTCTTCTCTGAACTCTCTCCAGTTGATTCCCATCTCTTTTGAAATGCAGTGTCTAAAATTAGATGCAGTGTTTTAGCTGAGGCCTTACCTGTGCCAAGTAAAGCACCCAGGTTGCTTTGTGTATCTCACGGCTGACACTCCTTTTTATATGTTCAGTAGGTTGCTCCGTTTGCAACAGCATGACATAGATGACTCACGTTTACTTTGTAATACTCAATATCCCCATGTCCTTTTCTACAAAACCATTATCAGGCATCTCGTTCCCAGGGTGTATCTACACAGTTGACTGTTTCACCCTTGCTACATAACTTCATAGTTGTCCTTACTCTTCTGCATCTTTTTTCCCCCCCCAAGATCTTTTTTCCAATTTGTCAAGGGTTTTTGGGCAGGGGCTTGGGTTTTTTTTTTTAATATTAAGCCAATCAACTATCTGCCAGGCATCATCTGCATATTTCATGAACAGACTCTCTATCCCTAGTGTCAAAAAAAAAAAAAATATTAAAAAAAACCCCAACCCACCAGGCTCTTTACAAACTCCAGGAAAACCCCAAGCTGAAACAGCCTTCCTGTTCGACAAAGAACCACTGACAGCTGCTTTCTAAGTTGGATGTTGGATTTTCCTAAAGGTTCTGCACCTGCCTTATGGCAGTATCATCTAAACCACTAGATCCCAACGAGGCTTCACTCCACATCACTTACAGCCTGCAAAGCCATTGGAGTCCTATTAATTGTGGCTATCATAGTGTATCCATCAAACTGAGACACTATACTGCCAATTAATTTCATTGTGTGACCAGAACGTGAAGAACAAGCCATTAAGTGCCCTCCATGAACAAAATGTTGGAAACCTCTGTCTACAAAAGTTTTTTAGCTCACCTCTGAAAAAGTATCATATAGGACAGTGCTTAAATGCCTTACACTGGTCTCTTCCCCAAGTCTTTTCCTCACAACTGTTCACTGATGGAGGACATAAAAAGATGCTTTTCTTCAAAAAGAGTATATTCAAAGTCACACTTCAAATTATTCCTAAGAAATAGTGCTTTTACCAACACTTGTAGTATGATTCTATGGACAAAACTCTCAATGGAGACCCAATTTTTACGGTTTGTTAAAGACACCCCTGAAAGTGAGGTCCCTTGATGTTTAAAGTTCAGCACACAAAATACTGATGCAGTAAAAGTCACTATCCAATTCTGAAAGTAGATAATCACAGAGAATGATTCATATGTAAAAGAACATTTTTAAAAAGCTAGAGTTTCATTTTTCATATTTGAAGTGTGTTATTATGAGTCTTCCATGATACAATGCCAAGACTGTTAAGGGCTGTTAGATGACAACACTTTATGATACAAGCTTGAACATACAGATATAGGAAAGAATAAAAATTCCAACAGCACACATGCACAGTTCTTCATCAAAACCTAAGCAGTAATGATAAAGGGCGAAAGGTCTCCCTAAGAAGGTAATTCTGCAGATCCTCTGTAAGATCATTTACTAAGAGACAGCTTTCAGCTTTAAGGGCTTGTCTATATTCTTGTCTATGGTATTTGGATAGAAGCTGTCACCAAACCAACACAGAGTGCCAGCCAAACATCCACACAAATTACTCCTAGTAAACTAAATGTGTACAGCCTGCTTGGGACTTGAATACAAACAGCCAAGGCAACTTTTTTTTATGGCATAGATACAGGACTTTTAGAGAGGTAAGGCAGTAATAATACTTCCTCTGCCCTACCCAAAGTTTTTCTCAAGATGTTAGAAAATAAAAAAAAATTCAGTTACCGTCTTTCACAGGTACAGTTTTTCCCCTGTTAGCAGCCATAAAGTTGGTTTCAGAAGCACTGTCTTTTTTTGCCATATTTAGACCTATAAAAGAATATATACAATTAAAAATATACATCCTAACAACAAGCAATAATTTTACAGGGAAGTCATACAAAAACAATTTGACAGGTTTGCAGATTAGTGGATGCATGGCTAAAACAGATAAAACTGTACAGTTCCTTAGACTCTTGATAAATGGGTAAAACAAGACTGAAGAATTGTTTTGATGGATAAGCACAGACATTAAACCCTCTAACACATTAAAACAGTCCAAACTATCTTGCCAAACAATAAACAAGTTGTCTGCAAAATATTAATGTTTATATTGAAGGAGTTTTACTTAAATCTTTCAAACATTTACATCTATTATATACACAACATTCACTTTTATAGTACCTAAGGTATACCATTCACTATGATTAATTTCACAATTTCTGCATTAAAGATTACACATAAAAGTTTTGAGAGAGAGATCTGAGACCAAGTCTTCATTCAGTCTATAAATAATTAAGTATGCCATACAATTTTTAAAAGCCTAACTCTTAGAGCAGCAATGTTGTGATATGCACGTGAACTAGTATTGCCACCTAAGTTATAATTTGTGAACAGTCATTTTGCTTTTCTGACGGTTTCCTACCCTAACTCAACGAAGAACAAGCTTATCTATGATTTATCCCCTCCCTGTCGTGAAAGAAAAATCCCATCTTTTTTACTTAACTACATCTCTCGGCTTAATTCAGCTACAGGGACTGAACTAGTTTGCACATGTACCATATTTTCCAAAATTTTATGGTTTAGCCATTAAGGCATCAGATCAAAAAACTAGTGTTTCTGACTGGTAACACACTTCTCAATTTGATCACAGTAATCCTTTTTCTAAAAACCTGAAAAAGACCTATTATCACCAGTCTGATGGATTATTCAAATCCAGTAGAAACAAATCAAATTTGAAAATCTCTATACAGTATTACATTTTACTTTGCAGCTTATAGCCATAGCTACAAAAAGCGTAGTAATTTTTCTTGGATCATTACAAACCAGTGTATTGCAGGAATGAAGTTTAAGGGAAAGGGATGTAATCCGGTAATGCACGTAAACACTGCAAAACAAAGTCCGGTAATGCACGTAAACACTGCAAAACAAAGTTCTGCCTCTGCAGCTTTATCCTCCCACTCCAGCCAGTGAATCAGCCAGGCACATTAATTCTAATGGACCTTTCAACACAGGAACATCTTACAAACGGCAGCTTCCGGATTACTGTTAGTGGATGTAAGCTCTGCCGAGCAGGTGATGGATAACTCACTCTGATTTTTACCTAAAGCAAGTATCAAATGTTTAAAATTTACAGAGATACAAATGCACCTTTATGACAGAAGAGGCAGTTTATGACTAAACTGTCCGGAACACACCGTCTGTGACAAAGGAAACAATCCTTTCCATTATAGTTTAATGAGTTACAAACAGTTCACAACAAACTGAATCTAACACTGAAAAATATTTAACAAAAGAAGTCAGCTTAGATCTGGTCTTGAGCAATACTCCTAACAAACCGATTATTCTGAGAAGCTTTTTATGCAGGACATCCGTTTATAAATAGCTTGTGCTATTTGTAAATTGTGCTAACTGTAAATATACATAATTAGGGCTTACTTCGCCCTCAATCTATGTAGAGAAGAGTTACATAAATCATCCAAAATGCAGCCAAAATGCATCTCTTCTACCAGCCTGGCACACTGTTTCTATACCCTGTGTATTACTAGTAAAGAGTGGAGAGTTTTAGTGTGCTTGAGGAAATTTGATGAGAATGTGTACGTATCTTCCATCCCTTAAGCTGTGCTGCCTTAGTATGAGTCACCTAAACAGGGTTCGAAAGGCAAAAGAAACGTTAATGTAATATATTTAATGACATTATTATGTAGCCAGCCAGCCACGCGGCCAGATTATGCATGGTGGTCCCTGCACGCAGCAGGGAAGAGTCTGTACTCCAAACATCTTGGAACCTAAACGGACAGAAAAGATGCTTCATTCTTACTTCACAAGGAGGGAACTTACACAGAAGGATTAAGTAATTTGAATAAATTACTAAAAGACTAAGCCAGAGCCAGGGACTGAGCCAGTAACTTCAATCAGTAGACCGAGGCCATATTACAAGGACACGCCTTCTCTTCTAATTTGCGTCCGGTTTTACTCGGATAACTTAATGAGCAGATAAAACACAATCAGTTAAATAGTTCCTTGATCATTTTGCCAGAAAATACATTAAATTTCTTCAATTTCTACACATAAAGTTGTATATACATTAGTTTCTAGATTTCCACTGATTTCAGTGAGATGTTTCAAGTTACCCAGGAAGATCTTAGTAAATGAAATCACGTTAAGTGTAGACATTTAACTGATATCACAGCCAGCCAGAAATTACTTTAAAGGCTCGAGAATAAATGCTGTGAACTTTTTGTTTTAATAGAGTATATAAAGGCTTCTATTAGTACATCAGATCCCTATAATCACTAAGCAACTACACACAATGTCCTTCCAGTACTAGTTTAAAGGCTACTGAATTTCTAACAATGAGAACATGTAGTTAATAAATACCACCTTCTCATCCCAAGTGATGAACTAATTCCAAAAAAGTATTTTAATACCAAGATTTACATAATTGTTGCTAATTCTTGAAGATTAGTATCTTGATAGTGTCTCAACATACAAGAAAATACTCACCAGAATTCACTTTGGAAGTTACGTGCGTCACATCTATTTTCTTGGATTTGACCAAAGGTGAAGACCGCATGGAAGAACTTCGTATGGAGGTTTTTTTGTGATCAGAAGCCTTGCTTATTTTAGAAAGAGGTGCAAAGATACCTAGAGAGAAAATTGTATGTGCCAAAAAAGAACCAGCAGCAATATTAATGCAACAAAACTCTCTGGTAACCATCTCTTGCATCAATTAATTTAGGGGTTTTTTTCATGGCTTGCTACGCTGTCAAAGCACTTGTAGGGTAGGAAGGACTAGCTCAAATGAAGAGTGAAACCAAACGGCTTATCAAGCAACTCGAACAGAGTAATTCAGGAATAATAACCAGAAATGTTGACTGGTTGGTTGTTTCAGTGGTTTTGCAAATAGTTGCAGCCAAAACACTAGGAACGGTTAAAAGAATCAATAAAATGAACAAAGCAAGCACTAAAAAGAAAAGCGACAGAATTTGTTATCTGGTTTTATTCTCCCAAACAGTCCATATCTTCCAAGACTTTTTTTAAAATTCAGGTTTTAAAAAAACATAAGAAAAAATTAAAGGTTATACCTCGTTTCGGTGCACACTTGAAGTATTGGACTCTTCCAACACTTCCATTGTTCTTTCCTTCTGGTTCATCCAGCTCTATGCCAGCCCACTGGCCACTGGCAAATTCCGTTGTGCCACAAAATCTTAGTGTACCAACCTAAAGCAAAAAGCATCAACACAGAATGACTTTGTTAAACAGGCATTGTTTATGAGAACATAGTATAGATTACAAAGGAGACAGCAAGTCATCTGCAAGCTTTTGATCAGAACAGAGAAATACAACCGTAACAATCTCCCTTGATTATTGACATTCCTATCTTTCAATGCCAGCCAATGCATTTCCCAAAATGTATCAGTCTTTCTGCGTATATTTTGTATTAAACAAAAGCAGTGATTATTGACAGATCTCATAACAGACAAGAATTAGACAGTAAGCACCACTGCACAATACAACTCCAAGACAGCAAGGTACAGGAGTATATGCCCAACAAGAAGTTTTACTTTCAGTGTCTTCTACACCAATAGTTCCAAAATTATGGCTAGATACCTTGCTGAATTGCAGATTCTATGGAAATACTAGATAAAAAATTCTATAAATATATCTGTGTGTGCATAAATATGTACATATAATTACATTTTTTTTTAAAATATATATTGCAAAGGTTAAAGGGTAAACTTCAGAGCATACTTAACTTTTTCTTTGGAAAAAATTCCTAAGTCTTTTATTCCCCTCCTCATGATTAAACAGAATTTAAAAATCCAGCAAGTGTGGTAACTTTTTTTTTGCTGTTTCAATATATACTGTGTAGACTCTGAACAGATAAGTATATCAAGAATATCAAGACAGACCGGTCTTGCTGGTGGATCTCAGCCTCCACAAATATATACTATAAGCTCACACACTTCAACCAAACGAGGGAGGAATAACTAACAGAGATGCATTTAACACTGATTTAAATTCATTTTTATATTTGATTTTTAGTTTTAGTAAAAAACCTTTGATCTTTCAGTTGCTCAGTTTTCATTATCTCATGTGACATTAATACTATTAGTTCATTTTTTGCTATGACTTCACTGTCTAATCCAGCCTTCAGAGAGTAAACAGACAGAAACCATGTTTTTTGCTTTACTATGAAACATTCCAGCTACTCTTTCTTAATGTTCTGTAAAGAAATAAATGTGACCCAGAGCCTGTTCTTCTTTTACTCTGAAGATCTCTCTTAAACTTGATTGTTACAGGCAGGGACATCACACTAATCTAGACCCAGACTTTTTAGCTACCAACCCAGAGATCAAATTCAGCCGGAGGAAGCTTGGCCAAGCAGCCTAACAGATTCCTCCACACTCCAGGCATCAGCCAAAGGGCACTTACCGAGCAGAGGGAAGGGACCAGCATCTTACACTGGAGGTGGAGATGGCAAAACTGAGGCTCCAACTCTGCACAAGCCCTAGGACTTGTGCAGGCAAGGAGCAGAGGACATCTCGCCCATGAGAAACATGGAAGGAACAGGAGAAAAGTTTTCTTCCAGCAACTGTTTTCCCTGCACTCACATTTCATCCAGTGTCCATTCAGATAACACATAATCTGGCAGAGCATGAGCTGGTGAAGCTGGGGGACCCCAAATCATGTACACATAAACAGCTGCTTACACAGCTTTCTACCCTGTAAGACAACTAGACTGACAGGTGCAGTAGGAATCAAGAAAGGAATCCATTTTCCCTCTGGCATCTACTGTGCTTGGCTTTCAAGCTGCATTAACGCTGGTATGTTAGGAGACTGCAGAAGCAGGAAAGAGAACAGGAATTCATAAACATTGCTCGTAAAAATGCTGCCATTCCAGTGCCCTTATCCCAGCTTCCTTATTCCAGAAACGAGAACTGATCCAAGAGGAGGTTAAGAATTGGGCACCATTTTCATGATCCTGTTCTCACTTTTGCTGCACCCTGCACACATTTATGTGTATCAGGGGAGAGGAGAAGACAGGGCTGAGATCAACTTCTCCATTCAGACAAATGGAGAAAGCGGGTGGGAAACAATGTGGCAGTAATGCAGAACAGCTCCTCACACACAAAGAAAGGAAGGGAGGAAAGCAGGCATGGAAAAGCAAGACCAAAAAGCACAATCACATTCCTCCTTTCCACCTGCCATATGACAGCTTTGGCTCCCTTAAAAAAAGGTAGCTGGAAAGCCCTGCTGGCCTTTGGCAGCAGAAAAACAGCTTCCAACTTCTGAAAAAACACTGTAATAGCATACTCAATGGAGAAAGGGGAAAAAAAAAAGTAACTTAAGCCAGGAAGCTGGGTAAGCACATTACAGTACAAAGTTCTATGGGCCTTACTTGGAGGAAAGAAACACAAGAGGACTAATTTCTTCCCTTTCTTTCTACAAAGCCTCCATTAATTTGCAGTTACATTATCTCCCCTTGCTTTCACTGTGCAATGGCTTTCTGTAAAAGAAACTTCCATGAACTTCTGTCTTTAAAGAATAAGCAGCTTCCTGTCCGTACTTCAGTTAAAATGCATGCTGCATAGCTAGCGATTCCTTTGCTTTTCCTGACCCAATTTCAAGAATACACCAGATGAAAATACAGAATGAAAGCTGCTTTGCACTTTCAGTGGAGTTCACTTTAGAACATTTCAGTTGTGATAATTACAAATCTTAAGTTATACTAGAAAAATTATTAAAAGTAAAGCTACTCAAACATAAAATTTTGCTCACAAATGCCTTCAATACTTTACCAGAAAAATATTTGAAATCTTTAAAAGAGTTCTAGCGCTCTTAAATCATTTCAGAACCCTTACTATCAGAGCAAATAAAAGGTATGAATAGTAACTGCAATGTCAATGTTACATTTTTCAAATACATTTTTTAAAACGTGTCTAGCAAGGTAGCTTCATGACAGCTATTCACATTTGAGCTGGACCAGTACTACCTATATTCTTATACCTCCACAGAACCATGTAACAACCCCATTGGCACAGCACTGCTTCAAAGATTTTAGCTGCATTGCACCAGTGAAATTGGGTTACTATAGGCTAAGCAGAATTAAAGTTTTCTTTTACTGCCTTCTGGAAACTATCAGGGGTAATGCATGAATGCATACTCATAACTGAAAGCCAGGCAGCTCACAAAGTAATCTGTAAATTTTACCATCATTCTGATGTGACACCAAAAATGTTAATAAAAGCTGAGCCATGCTGATGTGCTATAGGAGACTTAAAAAATTGTTTACAGATACAAAATGCAGACTGCGCCTGTCAAAAGAGCTTTTCAAAGTAGTGACTTTCTTTAACACATAACTGGTCAGCTTACTACTTTCTGTAACCAGATCCTTACTGCCATCCAGAGTTCATACCTACCAGAAGGTGTTTTAGACCCTCAAATTTGAGGTATGTCTCCAAAGGGGTAAATAAATTGACTCTCCAGAAATTAAGAGGGTAGTATCAATTTGCTCATCGTACCTTCTGTCCTGCAATAACAACACGATCTCCCAGTTTCAGGCCAAGTGATAAAAGCATGGCCTTGCCTGTGACATGATCATAGTTTGGAATCATGGCTTTTGAGATGTCACATGAGAGAGGCACAGCATCCAGCAATATCTGCTTGATTTCTTTTGCGCTGGCTGCCGCATCTGCCATTTCCAGTGGCATATCTACTGGATCAGGAACCACATCCGCTGGAATCTGCCCTTTGTCATTCTGTAGAAACATAACATAGCACAGGATTTAATGCTGTGACAAGATAAACCTGATTAGGCAAAACCACAGTAGTTGATGAAGTTCATTAGATATTTTTCCTATAAGTAACTATAAAAACATCCACATTTTCAAAGAAGGATGCTAAAACATCCTTAGATATATAAACCACCATTTACAGTGACTTATTTTCAAAAGTGCTAAGTTATCAAAATTTTTTAATCTAAAGAACATTATTAGTACTCAGAACACATGAAAAACACACCTGTATATATATCTCTGTACCTGAACACAGATGTAGAGAAGTAAGCAAGATTTTTGGTCTGTAATACCAATACTGTAATGCTAGTACTTCCCAAAGAATTTATCTTTACCCAGTGCATCATCTACTCCTTGGTGAGGCTTATTCCAAATGTAAGACAGAATTTAATTAATATATATTACATGTATAGAATACACAAAGTTGATGTCTCATATAAATAGTTGAATAAAGCTGTTGAGGTTTATTTAGACACAGACCACTGCATCAGAGGTGAATTAAGGACAGAGTCCTTTCCAAACACTTCCCATTCCCGGTGAGCAGTGACTGATTCGCCGTATGTCCCATGTGACACTCGCCCTAGGCCAGAACTGTCGGAATACCAGCTCACCTCCAGGCTAACCTTAACTCAAGGCCAGTTGGCCAGATAGCAAGTACACTGTTGGGCTGTCAGCCTGCTACAATGGCAAGTTCTACCTACGCTTTCTTCAGCAAAGGCATCAGTAATGGATCTTCACCTATCTGCCAATTTTCACAAAGCCTGTGGAAACATAATTACCTCAGTCTTTCAAATTTGTCTCAACTGAGCCCCTGGACTCAGAAATTACCAGAAGCTCAAAGAGGGAATGACACAGAGCAAGATTGTATTTGCTTTGTTTCCTTAAAAAACAGACTAAAAGCTCAACCTTCCCTGAGCCCCCTATAAATCTCCCTGCCTCAACCCTAGAAAACTATAATCCTTACTCAGCGTTTACACTCTGCTGTCCTCATATAAGCAAACTCTACACACTGCCTCTGGTCAGAACTTTATTGTGGGATTGAAGAATTAAACACCTACCATTCCTTAAAAATCTACAGTCATTCCATAAGTAAAAGGTCAGCCCCACTCAAGTCACAGTACCTTAAAAACAGGATTTAGCAGGGCGTTTGTTTTGAGTTTTTAGTCATCACATCAGCAATTGTTTGCGTCAGATCAGTCCCACAATTCAGCCCACCAGGTGCCCAGCAAATCTTTCTGTCAACACAAGGTAGTGTGCAGAGCAGAGGCAAGGCAGCAAAAGTGGGCACAGTGGCGCAGGATCACTTTTCTCAAGGGCAGAGACACCTTTTGCCAGCTCAGAATGCTTGTGCAACTACAAAGCAGTATCCCCTGTGACAACAGACTCTTAAAACATACCTGCCATAGAATTTGAAACACGTACACTAAGTAACGAGCCAAAGAAGAAAAACAGTGTTTTTAAAGAGATCTAGATTGAGTATCATATAGAACTGTATGGACAATGATGTTCCAGAAGATTTCACACCATCAGCAATACATGAAGTAATGACTTTTTAGACCCTTAAAACAATTATAATTTCTCATTAAAAAAAAACCAACTGAATTTGCAAATGGAACACAGAGATACTGCCTATTCCAAAAAAACCCAAAACCACCAACCCCCCCCCCCCCCCAACAAACCAAACACACACACAAAAAAACCACAAAATCCCCACAGAAAACAATCAAAACCCAAGATTTGTGGCTAGACACATATAGCAGCACTTTACACTATAACTCGGGCCTATTATTTGGTTAGTAAGCAGAGCAGTTAATGTTTCTTCATTATCAGTTACTTATGCTAAGACTAAGTCTACTGCTAAGCAATACAGTGCATTTCTGGAGGACACAGAATGCACTCCTGTATTTCTGAAAAGATCCACCACTGCCATGATGACTGTTGCAAGACACAAAGGAGTATTAACAAAGTTCAAGCAACAAATAGAAGAACATCCTGAAAGCTATCTGAACTAATAAACTAGACTGTGACACAAACACACAAGCTTTAACACCCAAGTATAACAAAGCATAAAAAAATCATCCACTACAAGTTATAAATATTTTTTCTGAGGCACTCACTCCATGTAACACATTTTTAGCTAACCAAAATCCTGGACAGACTGTTCAGTTTTTTCCAGGTACTTTTTTCACCTTTTGGTGAATCTACAACCTAACTCCTTACCCTAAAGGCAGGATTTGCTCCATGTTCCAGTAAACACTTGACAGCTCCTGTACATAGGTTAAATGCAGCAATATGCAAAGCTGTTCCAAAATCAAAATCACTACAGGTGGCATCCACATCTGCAATTAAACATCACATATGAGATATGTAAGTGTTATGTGAACATTTCACCCTACAGATTCCTTGAGAGGACATTAATTTTTACATTTTATGTTAGCATTTATACAGAGACACCATTATTTATGTGCTAACTGCGTATGACAAGGAATTCTACATTGAATATCCATCTTATCTGCATCTGTTTATTCATACCATGAACCAATCTGGAAGATGAGCATTTCCTTTCATTCATTTTGTAATACTGATGACTTAACTGCAAAATTGTTGCTATTCAGGATGCCCAAGCTACTGTGCTAAGATTAACAAGTTAGTAACTTGAGGTTTGCGTGTAAACTAATGTTTCAGAAATATTTATATTTTATTGCTTCTAGGTGTCAAATGTTAAAGTGAGATGCATCTTCAACCAGTTGTTTTCCTTTGTGAGCAGGTAGTGGGGCAAGGGAAAACTGATTATACCTCTGCTTTACATTGATTTAATTACTAATGGCCAAGAACAAAGTAAGAGCTAGTGATTTTTATTTCTTTGTTTTCAAAGAATTGCACTCTGAAGGGTCTTGCCCTGATAGTTTGGAAAATGGAGCACTGCATTTGACTAGAAGAGATTTAGCATAATATATATTTCCATCAATTGTTCCTGATATATCTTGCAATCTGCTATAAAGTTATCACTGTTCCAGAAGATTGGAGTTTTAATGTCTATTTAGTCTTTGGCTCCTCTCCTAAACTATACAAGGGAGATGTCAGTTTGAGTCATCTATATATATGACTGTTAATTAAAAATGCCAGCTGATTTAATACACAAACCAAAAGCCAACAACTATTAGCAATAACGCTCCAATTTGAAATACTGGTGAGGAACATAAAACTTTCCGCCTCAGGGCTGTACAGTCTCCTAGTATTTTCCACTATCGGTCTCTGTCCCAAAAACCACTAGCCCTTCTCACAATGCGATAAACAAAGTGTAACCCAACTGTATCAAACATCCTTATATAGTTATACTAAAGTAATATTTTGGGGGCAAATAAAACATCAACATATCTAGAAGATATATAAACATACATGTCTGTATAGATATGCCAATTTTATACATACTAGTAAAGATTGACTGAATTGTATAAAGATCAAAGATAACAAATTTGGGATCAAATTTTAACAGTTTTACAATTGCACTAATATGAATACAAACTTAGCTTTTTTAAATTCAGCTGGCACCCACATGAAAAAAGACTGCATTCACAAGATGCAATCATAATGACGGCTATGTATGCGATGTACCTTTTACATATCAAATGTCAAAAGACCATTACCAGTTTAAAACTGAGTAGAAGCTGTGTAGTTGTATACAACCATTGAAACTTCCCTGTTTAATAAGGCTATCAAGTAAGTATTTTCTGCACATATAGGAACCAATTTGCAGAAACACTGATCAGTAATGTCAGCTACTGAGTCAGCAACAGTTGCATGTACTCCTATTTTAACATGCAGATTTTTTTTTTTTTTTTTTTTTTTTTTTTTTGAGAGTAGTGTGACTTCCTCAGACTTGCAAGCTTCATGCTTGGAGCTTTTAAACACTGTTTTGTTACAGCTTTGTTCTAGGTCTAAGCTGGCACAGTACAGGTGACAAAAAGAAACACATATATATCAAATGTTACCCAGTAACTACCCCAAACTATCTAGGGGAAATTAATATGCAGCAATGGTCTGTCATCAGCAACCCATGCAGGTTACAGTCATTGTCTAATGGCACCACAAAACATTTTTAATTCTTAAGCCTTTAACAATGTTTATATTTAAAACCTCTAAAAATCTAAGATCAAACTAGCTCTCTGTTCTAACAATTGAGGAGTAAAGCTGTATAAAGAATTTAACTGCAGAGCGTAATAAAGGAAATAGTTTCGGAGTAAATCAAAAGGAAACATCTGTGGTACTGGCTGTTTCACAATGGGTGTCTCAGAGTCAGTATGCCACTATCTTGAGAAGTTATTTATACATTAACAACCATTTTTTCCTCCAGTTCAGTATGGATCCATCCAAGGCATATTTGCCTTCTATGCACATCCTCCCTTCTCTGCAAACTGCCTGATGAAGACTATTCTTTTTATTAATTCAGACCATCCACTGTTTCCATGTCACAGGGCAAATAATTTTATACATTTTCTGAGATTAAAAAAAAAAAATCATCTCCTCATCCAAGAGTTGCCAACTGCCGAGGCATTTAACCAGAATGGTTTCCTTGGAAATCTGAGCAAATTCCCACCCCTTCTGTAGGCACTGCACAGGAGGAGATGAGAACACCAAATGCAAATGAGGTCTGAAAGAAGACCTAATCTGCTGATGCAAATTATGGAGACCAGACCATTGAAATGTGATACGGACTTAACTACCATACAGTCTTATTTTGCCTTTTGTTACCAACATACACTTATTACCTCTTAAGCATGTTGTACCAATAACAGTGCCATTTAACAGTTACCTCCATGATGATTCAAGATGTGGTAAGCAAGCCTTGTGTACTCCAAAAACCTACCAGCTTTTCAGAATTTTGAGACAGATTCTTCAGCTACAACTAGCTAAAAAAGGGCATTAATCATTTTGCAAAATGGCACAATCAGAAGGATATTCAGCAGAACAAATTAACATTTGTAAAATTTTAGTATTAAAATTGCTTGCTGGTTTTGATATCCTGACCAAATTAGGAACAAATGGTTCTGGTCCAGAACCATTCCTGTATTTCCATTTGCATTAGTATAAATAGGGCTCCAATTACCAATCCTTTATATTATCATTCCAAAAGATATTATCTATTTATGCCAAACACTGAAGTCAAACCGTTCCTTACACATGACCACCCAGATAGCTGAGAAGTGGGAAAAATGAGCATGTCAAAGTTGCTTCAGTCACTAGTTTGCCACATGCTATTGCCATATCCCCACTTCTTTACCCTTCTCCCAGCATTTCAAACATACTTCTCAACGTTTAAGGAATCTTAAAACCCCTAAGAATTTACCAGAATAGCTGTATCTTTGGTTTTCTGCATACATTCTCTTCATCCTTCAACAACTTAGAATTAACCTGTTTGCTTTCTATTCTATTAGATATTTCTCTACCATCTTGTACAAAGCTCAAGTTTAAAAGTCAGCAATGGAATCGGCACAAAAAAAATAGGTTAAAAGAAAAATAAACCAGGGAGGCTGACTAAAAGAATAAGAAATCAGAAATTTTTTACGTATAATGGATAAACAAACCCCACACTTAAAGACCACTACACACCAGTTTAGGGTCAACAGAGTAACAAAATACAGACAGCTACATGAAACAAAAGTACCAATGCCTACCTTTTGGCTTTGCATTTTTCAAAATAACACTAATAAGTTCTGGAACATCAAAGTAGGCAGCATAATGCAAGGCATTCATATTTGTCCAGCGGCTGCGTAAACTGCTATCAGCACCCAAATCAATAAGCTGCGTCGCAAATTTTACAGCGGTTTCAACATCACCTGCAAGGTAAATTTTGTAAAATATGCATTAGAGATTTATTTATCTCAAAAAACATGCACATGCTTATGTGTAACAACATAATGTACGTTAAACCCTCAAAGTTCAGAGCAGAACAATTACTATGCCTTTCTTTTTAGAATTAGGATGCAGAAATCTTTGCCCTTTACGATAGAGGACTGAAATCTCTACTGTAGTATATAAAAACACTACCTATTTATCTCTAATGTAAATAACGTGTCACACATCAAAACCAGGGATTTTAGTACCTGACACAAGAAAAAAAAATTACTCGCCACAATGCTGAAGTTTATGTTAAAAGATCTGCCAACATCAGAAAAGCTAATTTATGCCAGACCTCACTCAGAAATTTAGTTCAAACTCGGAGAACTGGGTTCAGGTCAACAAAAAAGTAGCACAACACAAAAAACCTAATAGGGGTGCTCAAACAGAGTGAAACATGCTCTTGTTTCCAGTACTCATAATAACGCAAAGATTATTGTTTTCTTCCACCATGATCAGGGTGAAAGAAAAAGAAAAAAAAAAACGAAACCAAAAACCAAAACCATCCAGTCACCTAAACGTTCTAGTTTCACTGATGTAAGAAAACTGTCAGTAGCTTAGTCCACAGTTTGTACCTCAGTCTGAAACAGCCTTTGCTATATTAAATACATGTTTAGGCTGGTACTACTGTTTGCAATACCTATACCACTAACTCAACTTACTCCCAACTGCCACAGGCATAACTGCGCTACAGTTCTGTATCTTTCTTTCTGATGGCCAGTAGAAGAGACAAAACCAAGCATTAAAAATAAATCTACTGCAAGGAAAAATTCTGTAATAGTCGGTGGGATTAGCCTTTGTGAATTAATTCGGTTTTTACATCTATAATGACTTTTCTTTACTCACCAATACCATGAGCCCCTGATTTGCAAGTGTAATGCAAGAGAGTCATATCCGTCAGTCCATCTCTGTCATTCACATTGCAACCTCTTTTAATGATCTGAGAGACAGGTGGAAAACAAGCACATTTTAGCTCTGGCATATCTCTGACATCAGTATTATTTAGTAAGTTATTTCAGATATATTGACTCCTGGATTCATTTCAATGGCTAATAACAAAGAAGCCTGCCAGAATAGACTGTAAGTGCAGAACTGAGCAGAAGCATAAATGTAATAAGTAGTATTATATGAATATCACTAACCTTCATTGTTTACAGATTTTGAAGCTTTATATTATTACTTCTAGCATACATTTCGCATGCTGAAAAGTTAACTGCTTAACTGAGCAACACGAAAATGACATCATTTATGAAGTCACTCCCCTTGTTCTTTGATCTCTCAACAACCCCCCCCCCCCCCAACACACACACAAAAAAAAAGCCCCCAGTTATACTATGGTAGGAAGAATCTTTACTATACTTCCCCATCTGTCTAGAAAAGCATGTAATCCTGAAGAAAAATAAGAAAGTAGGATGGAATTACTAGAAACAAGGTGTCTTCTGAAAGCAGCGTATGGCAGGCTGCAAAGATTTCAGTTCCTAACTCATTTTGTGCCTTGGAAACATTGCCCTTAAGGTCATGCTTCACTATAACTTCATATATTGGAGTTTATGATCATTGCTAAGTAGCAAAGTGAAACACCAAAGTGAAGGGTCTCTAAACAACTGCTTTGAGAAGAAACATTGTTTCTACCATCTATCCAAATATACTTAATTTTTATCCATCATCTTTGTCTTTCCAAATGAAAGCTGACAACATGTGGAATATAAGGCACTGCTCAGTAACTACTTGTTAAAAGGCAGAAACCGTATCTGCATTTATGATTAGTTCTGCCTCTGAATCAACTGTTTTCTTTCATTGTCAACACAGTATTTCTTTAACACTGAAAGCATTCAAGGATCGTCATTTATACCTCACCTCATTCCCAATAATGTCAATATTCTGCTGGACCTGCGGAACCCACTGCCTTAAGATAGCAAACAATTCAGAAACTGATGTTTTGGGATTGAAAAGTATTTCTTGGCACGCTGCATCATTGGGATCAAAGAAGGAAAACTCTGTTAAAAAAAAGGAATCATTAGGTACAATTATAAGTTTTAATATGCATCTAGCTTTTCAAACTCAGAGGCAAAGAATAGCAGAGAGAGTCACTTCACTACTAATCACACTGGAAAATCAGAATGTTGAGTTAATTCAGAAAATTTTCTTTAACATCTGGTCTATGTTTCCTTTAATACTAAGGTCTTGCTTATACTTCTGAAAAAGCTTTGAATCAGCAACCAATACAATGATACTGCAAGACTGATTTTAAGTTTAGGCAAGGGCTAACAGAGATGTGCAGTGATTGTGCTAATAAGGGTTTACTCTTGTTTCAAGCTAGCCAAAGACTGCTGATTCTAAGCTGTTGCCAAGCACAGACAAGCCTCTTGATCTCTCAGTGATTAAAAGCATACGTGATTTCTCCACATGCTACAAAGGTGTATGTGTGTGCATGTATACACACATACTGTATTGTAAATTTGTGGAATTTCTTCCAACCCTGGAAAATTATATGAAAGAATCTGGCTGTTAGGAGAGGGAATGGAAGCAGAACCTGCTGTCATCAGCAAATGACTGTATCACAGAAAACACTGAACTTTTACCCCCACTGCAGCTATCAGGGAGTTGCCTTTTAAAAAGGTTTCAAATAAATGTGCAATGTCAGCTTGCATTAATCACAGATACAAGGCGCTCAGAATGGACATGCAGGTTAAGTAAAATAGAGCATCAGCCATCTGGGCATATGACGTGGTATAAACTACCTCTGGATGAATCATCATAACCTTTCCTCAAAAAGAGCATACCACACTTCTAGATTGGATTAACAGATAAAAGCACATATGGAACTCACTTCCTTGCTATCCAGAGTTCCTCTAACTCCATTGCCTTAATTCAACAAGAATGAAAAAGAAGGACAACTTCACTGATACTTAGCATGAATTTTTATTTGCACCTAGCATATAAAAAAAACCCAAACCCCTTATCCCTCAGCACTACACAGTGTGTGCTTCTTACCTACGCCCCATGCATTGACCCAGATCTACTGATTTATCTACTAGTATTTAACTTCCGCATAAACCACAGCTGATCTATTGCTGAAAGCTCTGAAGTAAACAGACAATTAGCCAACAAGATTAATGACCTTACACAACATGCATGATTCTTACTCTACTAGGAAGATTTCTAGCTATGAACCTGAACCAAATTATGTATCAGAAATCAACTCTAATAGACTGTTACAATCAGCATGCTAGCGTAAAAACCTGAGAATATATTAAGTATTAATAATAACCATCGTAAGTGCTTAACGGGTGATCAGTTGTAGTGTTTGCAAACCAAAGAAATGTTACAGAAAATCTGTTAAAACAAGAAGTTCCACGAAAGGATGACAATGGCATCTAGATACTTTAAAACATTACTTTCTCCACTTCTATCTTTCCCATGCACTGATTACAGTGATCAACTGTATTAAGGAAAAATAAATGCACTTAATGTAATGACCAAGAATCTTTGTTATGGTGTAACTTTCTTCACCCAGATTCAGTAATATTACTGTTACATAGGTGACAGTGACCTCCTATAAAAGGAATTTTTTTTATTCAACGAGCAGACATAGACCAAGTAGGACAGATGGTAGTGATATTGTAGTGTTATTAGAAAATACCACAACACAACAATGTTTAAAGAAGGACAAATGGAAAATTTTTCTACGGGATAAGAAAGCAGAATGGAATAAATCATGGCAGTACTTAGAGTGGAATAGGACGGACAAGTTATGAGAACAGGGCTAAACCACATAAAGACACATGTTCACATACTAAAATATATTTTATGGAACTGTTAAATTTCCAACCTGGGCTAACTCATCAAATGGGTCTCAAGAATGCCAAGTCTGTCAAAGACAGAACATTACATGTATTTATTTTTCCTGAATACAGCTGATTGCTGCAATCAATGCAAGGGAAAAACATAGGTGGAGGCAGTAATTTTTAAGGTATATAGATGCTATTAGCATCTTCTGCAATATTCAAAGGCATTATAATTGTAGCTACCTATGAAGATCCTTACCTACAGTGACATTTTAATATATTATATATCCTGTTTAAAATATTATTATAATATATACATGTGAAGACAATTCATTATTGCGAAAGCTGATCACCGATACTTGCTATAATTTTCTGACATTCATTTCACAGTCCTTACCACCACAAACATCTACACTTCCAGCAGAAATATCCCCCTGTAGTCTATTGTTTACATACTGAAAGCACGAGAAAAAGTGTAACTCTAGAGGTTTTAAATGTGATGTAGATGCTTAACTACATTTAATTACTGCAATTTTACATCTTAACACAATATCCAGTTCTACACTAAGATCTAAAAAACCTACAAACATCTGGCCACACACACACAGAAGAAAGAGGAAGAAGGAAAAGATATTATAATTTAAAATGTATGCAATAAGAAAAATAGAAAAAGCATGGGTCTTCATCTTTCATTTCCTTTAAAAAAAAATCATAGAGAATTCATTTAACAAGCAGTAAACTTTTTCCAAAAAGAAGAAATAAACTAAGAGTTGACAGCTTCTCTTAATATTTATTATTCAACTTTATTCTCTGCTATTCACAAATTCGTTTTCTGTTAAAAGTACATACCACAGTCTGAAGGCATTGGTGCTGCAGCAACTGAAAAAGTAACAGATGTTTCAGAGTTTGGGAATAAGAACCGTTCTCTTTCAACAAGGGAATCTCCTTCTAAGGAAGGTTCTGGGAGATCCTCTATGGTCATCTTCTAGAAAACCACTCTGGGAGGAAAAAAATTTAATAAATAACCTCATTAGAAATACTTTGGATTAGTTCTATCGTAGTAAGATATAACGTGCAACAAGACTAAAATCTTTCCTTTTTGCAAACATAAATATTACTACCATTACATTCTTAAAAACTAATAAAGTTAATTAGTAGAAGCTAGTAGAATATGGTGTCACGGTTAGCCAACTTCTAGTTTTGACTTCACTGCCAAACTTTAACGGAAAACATTATATTTCTCCCCAGTTTTCCACTTGAGCAGTAATAAAAATAATAATGCTATAATTAGCAACCACACGGTGATGATGAATGGATTAGTGTGTTTTACAGCTTTATGACAAGGTGAAGCATCAAGTACCTGTCCTCATGCTCTGCATGCATATTCCTTTTCTTCACTGTGAGCAAGAATGTGCTACCAGCTACTGCTTTCTCCTCTTTTAAAATTCTCAGCACTTCAATCTTCCCACACAAAGCTGCAGACAATTCATCACCAAGTGATTCACTCCTGGACTCACGATGTATCAGCTCCTTTCCCAGCTTCTCCCCTCTATGTTTTAAAATAGCATACTTACCACAGTGCTGTAACCTCCACCCTGGTGTTTTTCCCAGTCAACTTTTCAGGCCTTAGAGCAACCTAGGAGAGAGAAGAAAGATTAAATGGCCATACAGAGTTATAGTGACATTTTCTACCAGGCCAAGTTACATTCTAGTTATGGTTCACATGCTAAGATCAGAGGAGAGCTGGCTATCGCTTGTAAGACATCTACTTGGGCAAATTCAGCAACAAATAATGAAAAACATTATTCTTAATAGAAACAGTCATTATTGCACTATTGGAGATTACATCTCACAGCTGAAAAACTGAAATTCTGCATCTTGAATTTTCATGGTTAAAAAATCAGGGTAAAAGCAGCGCTTCTACTAAACAACCTAAATTTTTATTCTGGAGATTGCTATACAGTGCTCTTTACTCAGGAATTTGTTTAGCCAGTTTGCTTGATGGAAAGAATCCATGGAGCTTCAAGGCATGTTTGGTTTTATTACATTTAATCTATACACATGAGTAAACAGGAATAATAAAGTAGTCTGGTTTTGAAACTTACTTTGGTTTTTGTATCTTACACACAACAAGCTATGTAAATAGATTTATTCTAGTATTTCCCCAAATAAATTTGTCACACTATTTGGGAACCTCACATAATCTACATTCTAATAGAAAAGGCATTTTAGCAGTGGATTACAGATGCTAATCTTGAAGTAAATAAATGAAAAACTCCTCTTCTTGCACACTGCGCACCGTTCACCCTGTCCTCGATTTGGAAAAGAGGTCCACGTGAAAAATGCTCATTTTTCTCCAACTAGTTTATTTCCTCAGTCTTATGCAGCTGTACAAATGTATGTGCTGGCACAAAGGGAAGATCAAGGGCGGCCACTGGGAAAGGCAGGACTATTTCTTCCCACAGCATTATCAAATTGCATTGGCTTAAGCATTCTTAGATTCAACAGGGCCAAAAATATCACTATTTCAATTATTATTTTCATCCAGTAAGGGAAAGTTGGACTTTACATTTTGAATGGCTTTACAGCCATCATAAACATGACAGCAACAGCTTTCCTGTATGAGGGACTAAAAAGTCTCTTAAGCTGCAAGCCACTGATTAAATCTCTTTTGTAGGGCAACAGCAAAATAAATTTGCTACCATCTGATATTTGTTCAGAGGCTATGGCAAAACAAAACAAAGCAAAGCTTTGTAAAACATGTGAATCCACAACAGTTTTTCACAGGTAGCACGTCAGACACTCTCATGAAAGGCAGAAAGGAACAAGTAATATGCATGAGTATAGAAGAGATGATAGCTGAACCTGTTAAGTTAGAAGACGACAGGTAAAAAATTATAAGTTTTTTGCACGGCACTGCCAGTACAACACTGAGGAAACAAAAGAAACACAATGAAAAGTAGCCAGACCCGACTGAGAAGCTGGTAACAGGAAGAGGTGAGATTTGTGAAGTACAATGACAAAAGTTGCTGGAACTCGAAATCAACAGAGACATTTGAAAGTTAATACAAAAAACACTGTTTATTGCACACAGGAAAGCAGACTGAACAGAACAGAATCTGAGCCTTTGCAAGCATCCAGGGCGCTTTTACTCTGAGGGGCCAGAGTGGAGAACACAATCTGTCACACAAGTGAAAAGAATTCAGCACATTAACGACCAAAGCAGGCAGGGAAACAACCCGTGTTGTCGAGCTGGTGATGTGAAGACCCAAGTGCTACAATGCATGCACCAACCCAACTCCATAAAGAATGGTTCCACATGTTTACACTAGTGCCAAAACCCCCTGACCTAAGCGTGCACATCCTTACGCCGTGGGATTTTAATTTGGATCTAGAAATATATTACCATGTCATGACACAGTTCTGAGACATGCAACGTCAAGGCAACAACATGTTCTGCACCCATGACTACCTCCAGAGACTGCTAGCTCAGGTGTAAGAACACCACAACCAGTTAACGTCACACACACATACCTGAAAAGGCAAAAGGAAAGCAAAAGGTTGAAAACTATTTCAAAGAAAGGGAAAAGACAAACAAACGTTGTCCTCGTAATTACTTCTGTTCTGAGGAAAAACACAACTGCCTGACTTAATATCCAAGACATAGAGACTCAGGCTGAAGTCCTGGTGAAATGGAATGGAAGGTCTTCGAGAAGAGCAATGTTTTCCCTACGTTAGTAAGGTGAGTTTATGCAGACAGAAACTGTTAGAGAAATCCAATGAAAGGAAGGACAGAATTTTCCTCTTCACAGCATTGCCAAACGACCATTAAGCACAGTTTAGCATAGCAGAGAGTATCATACTTACTATTTGCCAGCCATACGTTCTTGTGACTAAATTAAATCTGAAAATGAAAAATAGAAATATCATTGGGGAGAAAAAAAAAAAAGAAAACTTGAAGGAGTCATCAGGTGCACACACACTTATGTTGACAAGGCTGAAGAGCAACAACAGGTTTCCTAATATCCACACATTACAGAGAAGCGCATGGTACCTCTGCATATTAAAAAAAGAAAAAATGTATCATACAGGATGAAACTTTTTCATGTACTCCAGATCTTGTAATTTGCAATTTGTGTTAAAGCACAAAGTACTCCTGCAAATGCTACAAAAAACTTGCAAATGCTAAAGTGCTTCAAGTGATGAAATACCAACTGTGCTAGGGCTTTGACAGCCGAACTTGGCACAAACGTGATGGCATTTTTGACAATAACCATGTACAATGGGCTAATTATCGTGTACTTATACGTGCTCAAGAAGAAAAATAAAGTTCAGAGAACAAAACTCTTGCACATACACTATCTGCTTGCTCCATAAAATTTACAGCACGAGAGGCGGGCACGTTACGTGTATACGGGCACACTCCAGACTGGTTTTTCAACTGGTGCGCAGGGCCCTCTTGCAACACGGCGCTTTCTTTTGAGAAGCTGGAAGTTTAAGAGTTCCCGTTTCCGAGCCGTCCAGCTCGGCTCCGCTCGTTCAAAGCTTCCCGCGTTACCTCCCTCAGCAGAACGCCAGGCACCGCTCAGAGGCGACCGCGGGGCTGCCCTCAGAGCGAACCCCCCGGGAGCCGG